TTTTGTGTGTGTATGTGTGTGAATTAATTTGTTTATTTTTTAGCTCCCACCAATGAGTGAGAACATGTGGTATTTCTTTTTCTCTGCCTGACTCGTTTCACTCAATATTATTCTCTCAAGGTCCATCCATGTTGTTGCAAATGGCAGTATTTCATTCGTTTTTATAGCTGAGTAATATTCCATTGTGTAGATAAACCACATTTTCCGTATCCACTCATCCAATGATGGACATTTGCAGCCCACCTGTTTTAACTTTTCCAGTATAATCTGACACAGAAAATATTAAACATTAAGCATTTCTCAGTGGGTTGATTCACTTCTACTCATGCGTATATGTAATAAGTCTGATTTCAATTCTTCAAAAGAGATGATGTAAAGCTATCTTGAGAATATTGAGAAAAGAATAAAACAAGATTACACTTGTTTATATGTACTACCTAGGATGTAATAAGCTCTCAAAAAGTATCTGAATGAAAAAAAAAAGTATCTGAATGGATACAATTATCACTGCTATGAAAGTTTTTTATTAAAACAAGCCAATTTTATATTTGTACTTGGACATCCATATTTCATACTTATGATAGTTTATCTGTAAAGATGAACTTGGCTGACATCATTAGGTTTATACTTTATAATTCGATCCTTGAGATAATTCAGGGACAGGAATGCCAATCACTTCATTGAACTCTACCTGAATCTTAACACAGTGCAATTGAGTTCCTAGAGATCCAGTGTGATATAATTAAACTGTCAGAAATACTAACATCAATGCTCCTGAGTGTCTCTGTTGGTTCTGATTTATTCTGCTTACATACTGTCACTAAAGTGGACTTGCCGCCATTAAAAATGCGTCGTGTTTCCCAATTCAGCAAAAATTTGCATCAGTAATGGAACAGAGAGATGTAATCGGCCCTGCAAGTTGTCAGGATCCTATTCCTCCTATTAGTAGTTTATTCATTCCATTATTCCATGTTCCATATTCATACATCACCAGATAGTAGTACTTTAAAACTGCAACAACAAAAATACCAAATTGTACCTTTTATTTTCTAAACGCATAAACTTAAGCGTGTGTGTGTGTGTGTGTGTGTGTGTGTGTGTGTGTGTGTGTGTGTGTGTAGAGAGAGAGACAGAGAGGTTGTAACTTTTCCTTTTCCACTTTGTGACCTCAGTTTTGCAGCACTAATTTGCCATACTTAGTATTTCGAAGAGGTTTCCTGTGGTTATGTTACATGAGACTCACAGAATCAGAGGCTTTTTAATGTACTCCAGGTTCTTAAACCTCCACTGTAATGATGATATGCAGCCTCACATCCTCAATATGATTTTGTCTTAATGGTTAGAATTGACAATGATCTTTTATCTTGTACTTTAATAAACAGGGATGGAAACAGGAATAAATACAGGATTATAATCATAGATGAAAATCCAAGTAGCATAGACCAAAGGAAATGACAAGCATATTTACATCATTTCATCACTGGCTTTCCAGTCTTTTCCAAGAGATGTGAACCTGAGGTTGTCCTTAAGCATGTTCATTATTTTTGACTTGCTGAAAAAAGATCTTGTTGTAGACAGAAGTGACAAGGTACTAAACAAATAGAGCTTGAAAAAATGTTATGTTCACTATTGGAAGGTTGAATACTATGAAAAATTAGTTTCAAAGGACGTTCAAAATTCAAATTAATTTTGTTTGCACCTAAGAAATGTCCCCCTTACTGCAAATGCTGTTTGAGGTGTATTTATTTAATACATGAATAAGCAATCAAGAGACAGATCCAATTCCCAGCAAAGACCATCCGTCCCTAAACTCCTTTGCTTAAAATCATCATTCTCTCCTCACATAAACAAATTCCCAAAGACTAAGAAAAAAAAGTTTCTCCTCTAAGAAAACCCCAGAACATCATCATGATAAAGTAGTCCCAAGTAACAAGGAGGAGAGGAGCATAACTCCTCAGTATACCCCATTTCTGTAGTTCTTGGAATATTAATATTTCATTACCTGTATAGGTCACATACAACTTTCATTTCTGTTACATTGGACTTTAAAGGTATTTGAGTTTCGATTGTGTTTTTGGTTAAATGTCAAGGGAAAGAATGAAAAAAATACCTCAGTGTCTCCACTCCCTTGTTACCTTCATGAAGTGAACACAAAATGTCACATTCTTATTTTGTGTTGAGGAGACACGTTGCAAGCGTGCAATAACAACTGTTTTATTAGAAAGGAAAACGTTTCACATTTGTTAATGGGGCATAAGAAAAGATGGTTTGTCCACTTTATCTTAACTTCTAAATAGATACATGGCTTTCTTCTCCAAAGATAATGACATAGATAAATTACCATGTGGACTAATTCCCTTTAAGGAATCGTTCCCTAATTATTAAGCTTGAGAGTTTTGTGTCATTTATGAGCAAGTGAAATAAATTTATGTTGCTTTTAAAAATGTGATTATGGATCTGTTCTCTAGTATCTGTACGTTATGTTTAAATCTAATTTGCCAATATTTGTTTTTGCTTTTATTAAGGCGAGGAAGATCTTCTCAGTCCTCCCCAGGACACGAGTTCAGGGTTAGAGGAGGTGATGGAGCAACTCAACAACTCCTTCCCCAGCTCGAGAGGTAAGCTCCAGGACCTAGGAGGGACTCACACTTGCTGGGTGTAGGTCACGCACTTCCATACCCGACTGCTGTGTGTCTTTGCCGTGTGGAAGTCAACCCGTGCTGACAGAATACCAATTTGGGTCCTCGGTGAGATGATGTTATTTTTAAGTGCGAATTTCTGGTTTAGAGTATTTTGAAGTCAAATACCTGTGTAATCAAGATGCTTCCAGAAATAAAAATACCACCTTATATTTATCAAGTATTTTACTTGCTTTACACATTACTCTGAAGAGCTCATTATGAGGTGCCTTTTTTTTTTTTTTACTTAAGAGCAATTATGATGTGACTTTTACAGATGAGGAAATTAATCCCCTGATGGTGCCTTTGCCAGGGACATTCGGCTACTACATGCTACAGCAAGGCCTGGAACATGCCTAGCGAGTGGAGTGGGAGGGATTCTGACTTGTAATCTGATGAAGTCTTACCTCGTCATTCAAATATAAGAACAGTTAAATCTTCATAGACTAGTTTATTATTTTTTCACTTTCACAGATGGCATACAGGCTTCACAAAGAAAGGCATTAATAATATTTTTCTTTGTCCCCATCACTTTGAACTTGTGGATTTTGCCCATCATACAAAAGCAGCATTTTACCCCACAGAATGTCCCACCAGCCTGCATGAGCATCAGATGTCTGGCTTCATCTAAAGAAATATTTTGCTGCTGCTGTTAGTATCTAGGGGCATTTATTTTGGTTTATTGCTCTGACATAAAACAAAGTCACTGACCCACCTCCCTTCCATGAATAAAAAGAATGGTAGAAATCACCTGTGATCAAATAGAAGGAAAGCCTAGATAAGCAACGGGAGAAAACACTAAGGCTTTGTGGCCAGTGATTGGCACCCTTAATGGGCAGCCTGGGAGGGAAGGGTGGCAGAAAATCTAGACTATTTGTTCCTCTCCATAAGGGCAATGAGGAGGGTGTTTTGAGTAGTGTGTTTCCTATCTTTTTGTTCAGTGTCAGTTAACAATGGCCATTTCCTAGCTCTTTGACGTGCGAGTGAACACTGTGCCGTGCACATTAAAAGCAATAATGTGCTGGTAGAGCGTTGCTAAGGAACCATCAGGGGAAGCTAATTTTAAATGTCTGCCCCAGCCATCTTTTCACTGCTGAGTGCCTCTAATGTGTTGATTTTAACAGATAAAAATCTTATCCGTCTTCCACCCACCCCCACCCCTGTCCCGACTCTCTCAGGTATCTCCTCTCCCTAGACATCATCATTCATAATGAGAAGCCCATACACAGGCTGGACAGAAATCAAGTCATTTCACCTTTACCCTCATTATTTTGTCCTGCCAGCTTTTACTAGCGTGAACTATGTAGAATGGAAGTACCAGAGATGATGAGAAAAAATGACACATTCCTTGCCTTCAAGGTACTTATGGTCATGTGGGTATGCAGAATTCCAAAGAAGTTTACATCACAATACAATAATATGATTGCTGTAATGGAGATGTCTATGGCATGAATGAATTCCAGAAGCACCATGTTAATTAAATAGGAGGGGGTTAACCTCAGGCAGAAGAAGTGTCTTCTTCAAGGTCACACAGCTACTAGTGCAGTCAGGACTTTTGGTGCCTCATCTAGTACATATTTCATTACCCCCAAGCTTTCCTTTGAAGGTCATAGACATACGTGTTATCCCAGCCCCTTGAACTGGTGGCTTTTTTACCTGCTCTGTGGGAAGTTAGTGGCTGCTCTGTTGGTGCCCTGGGCATTTCTTCCATATCTAAACAACAAAAGTATAGCAGATAAGAGGCTACAGCAAGGCTCATGGCTCTGCTCCGCCATCAGCAGCCTTGCCTGCCTAGACCTCTTTTTGTACCTGGGTTTCTGGTCCACCCCAGTTAGCTTTAAGGTGAAACCCTTTGCACCATTTCCTTGCATCCCCCCTTAGAGTCTGTGAAGCTAGACACCACATGGGTGTGAAAGAAGCTTCCTGGAAGACGAGAAACATACTTCCTCTGATATAGCATTTGGCACTGAGCATCTGTGAAGTTGTACTTACTTGTATGATGTTTATTTACTTGTACGGAAACTTAGGGAACTCTGTCCAGGCCGCCCGGATAGTGTTTACTAAATGAGTGCTTATGGAAGAATATCACCTCCTAAGTGCTGATTTGAGTTCTCAAATATGGAAGAAGGAGGCCTTGTCTGATACCAATTCAATTTCTACTTAGTCATACCCTGGTGGCCTGAGAAAATTAACTCATATTCCTGGGGGGGGAAGAAAACAACAATCAAATATAAGATATAACAAGACAATAGTTAAGGTGTTGGAAGATCTGGCTGGTCTTTCTGTGATGCTATGACCTTGGTATTTTTTTCTTGTTTTGCTGCTTCCTTCTAAATTAGGCCTTGTTATAGGCCCTTTTCTCACCAAATTCAAATGGATAAAAAGTTTCATCATTGTAAAAATAGACTATTTGTTTTTTAGATGGTTTATTTCTAACTAAAAGCATTTTTTTTTAATTTTGAAAAACTGATATATATATATATATGTAGAGAGAGAGAGAGAGAGAGAGAGAGAAGGAGTTCGGTTTGGTGGGAACGTCTTACCAGTTGGTAAGTAGGTTAGGCTGATATTAAACAGAAGTTCTTGAGAATCTTAACATCTCGGGATTACAAACTCTCCCAAATGGAAGAGGCTTCAAAGGTCATCTTAGCATCTTTGACATTCAGAACAGTGGTTCTTGACTTGTTTTGACCATTATCCATATAAAAGAAACATTTTACATTGCAAACTGAGGTAAGGATATAAAATAAATTATATGTATGTTTATGTACACACACAGATATATGTATACACCCACCATATGTGTACACTATACATATATGTGTATAGTCACATATACATACAAAGATCTGAAACAAAAGTTTTATGAAATAATACTTTCCATACTCCATATAATGCATGCTGCTTCTCTGTTTTACTTATTTAAAAATAAAATGCTGGTGCAACCCACTAAATTGATTTTCTGATCCAGTGGGTTAAATATACTGATCTAACCAATCTCAGTCTTCCTTGCCCAGGTAAATATCTTTTCCAAAAAAATTAAATTTCAGGAGCTAGCCAGTTAGCTCAGTTGGTTAGAGCACAGTGTTAGTAACACCAAGGTTTCAGATCCCTGTACCAACCAGCTGTCCCCCGCAAAAATAAATAAATTTAAAAATTTTCACCATGGAAGTTTCTGCCAAGATTTTGCTCATGTCTTAGAGGACTTTGTAGTTTTATCCTAACTCTGCCATCCATGTTCCTGTTGTTGTTCACAGTTGCTACAGCTGTTTTGGACAGCTGTTTAAGTAACTCAAAACAGATGTCAGAGCCAGAGGTCTGACATTTAGTGGAAATGTGTTATTAAATACCACCTCATGGTTTACTTAACCCTACTAGCTAATTGCCCACAGAGGAAAAGCCTTTTTTAAAAAAATCATGTTTTTCTTGGGGCCGGCCTGTGGCTCACTTGGGAGAGTGTGGTGCTGATGACACCAAGGCCATGGGTTCAGATCCTATATAGGGATGGCCGGTTAGCTCACTGGGTGAGCGTGGTGCTGACAACACCAAGCTAAGGGTTAAGATCCCCTTACCAGTCATCTTTAAAATAAAAAAAAAAAAAAGTCATGTTTTTCTTTAATATAAAGCATATAGATGGGTGAGTTATTGTGTATTTTAAATTTACAACGTTTTTGTTACCCCTTGCCACAGTTTTGACTTAGAGTTGGACTTTAAGGTATCAGCTACTCTTTACCTTTCATTTTCACAAAGAATACCTGGAAGCCCAGAGAGGTTAAGTGCCTTGTTCATGGTCTCTCAGCAGGTTGAATTCGGCTTCTGATCTTATCTCAATGGCCTTGCTAAACTGTTATCCAAGTTAAAAGGGTTGCACGCTTCTCCGTTTAGTGATAAACTGATGACCAACACTGTCCTACATAATAGGCAGTATATACCGCAGTATGTTCAAGCTGTGAATGTATGCACATTTAGCTTTGTGATTATATCTTTCCTGATTAATCCCTTGATATAGTTAGGTGTTCACAACCACTTGGGGCATTTGAGTATATATTTAAACACTGAACACTACCAATTTCTATCTAATCTATCTATTTATCTATAATCTCTCCCTCTGTCTGTAAGAATATGTAGAAGTTGAATTCCAGTGTAATAAAAGACATTATCTACTATAAGATACTTTCTAAATCTCCACCATTATTCTATAGGAACACTACGTGGGTAGAATGAACAATATAATTTAAAAACAAACCCTTTAAGAGATTTGTCCATAAGTCTCTGATCATTTAGCAGTCTGACAAAGGTATTTTTATATGTATGTGCATTAATGAAAGAAATGCTTTCCTAGTCAGTGGTATGCTGATGGGCTCTCTAAAATGAGGTGCCGCTTTATACCCAATTAATGAATAATAGAATCTCAGTGCAATAGGACAATCCAGAAAGCAGTTAGCAGTGCTATGTATTTCTGCTGCCTGTACAATCTCTTGTCTACTGACATGTGCCACATTATTTTTATCCCCAACAGGCTATGTCATCTTCTCCTGTCAAATGGCCCTAAATTACCAACCCAACAGCTTTGAAAAACCTGCCATCTTTTAAAATTCAAATTTTGTTCTGTGGTTCTTTTATGGAAGAGCAACATAAACTGTGCCCCCTTTCAGGCACCGTTTTGTTTCCTATCTGCTTTCACAAAGGATTTGAGCAGTTATCCCTTTATACCAGGGACCAGCAAACTACAGTCCATAGATCAAATCTGGCCACTACCTGTTTCTATAAATAAAGTTTTATTGGAACACAAATACACACCCATTCATTCACATGTTGTCTATGGTTGCTTTCTCACTACAAGGGCAAAGTAGTCGTGGCAGAGTTGAATAGTTGCTACAAAGCCTGTGTGGCATTTCCTGTCCGGCCCTTTACAGAGAAAATTTGCCAATCCCCACTTT